GGCAAAAAAACAAAAAAAAAAAAAAAAAGAGGCCTTCCACCCACTTCAGTGAGGTGCTGTGAAGGATATTCAGGGAGAGAAGACCGAGGGGGCCCAGCACCCCAGTGCCTGCATTTCTGGGCCCTGGATGTGGTCTCTTTGGGGCTGATTTGCCCTCTCCGGAGCCTGGAGAACTTTCTCCCTTTTTCCTTCTTGGGATGGGGCAGGAGGGTGCCCTCTAGTGTCCATAGGGAGCATTTATGATTTAAGAACCTTAAACCTTAGCTGCCCCGAGGAGAAAGGTTCAGAGAGGACTCAGAGTCCCTGGTCTACACACTTCTAGGGGCGTCCAAGCTGGGAAAGTTTCTGGGCTGGAAGAGCTCACCCCTCCCATGGTTATTTCTACAGGCCTGGCCATGGGAAGCCGTGCCACTTCTATGCCTCCTGGTACAGGGTGAATTTCTGTCCTATTATTTATGAGAATGACAAATAGAGTTGATCACCCCCCCACACACATTTTTTGGGGGGTGGGTTTGAGACAGGGTCTCACTATGTAGTTGAGACTGACCTGGAACTCACTATGTAGCCCGGGTTGGTCTCGAACTCACAGCGATCCTCCTGCCTCAGCCTCCCGAGTGCTGGGATGACAGGCGTGCGCCACCATGTCCAGCTTCCACAAACACACATTTGAAACATTCAGCCCTTACACCCTGACAAGATGGCTTGGGCCTGCATCCGAGGGCAAGAAGACCCCAGAACAGGTGGGAAGGCATTGCGAGAACTGTCCTCAGGGCCAGCAGCAGAGCACTGGGTCACAGGACAAAACTACCAAGGAAGCTGAGCTTGGTGGTGCACACCTGTATTCTCAGCTCTAGGCTGAGGCAGGAGGATCGCTGTGAGTGGGAAGGCAACCTGGGTTACATAGGGAGACTGTCTCAAAACACAAATAAACCACTATGCTACGATCCTCCAAAGGCTTGGCCTCAGCCAGAAGAAACTTAGCTCTTGCTCCAGGACAGCCAGACAACACCTACAGCCTGTACTTTTATTCCCTCTTCCCACCCCCAGCTGGCCAAAAGGTAACCTGTGGCCAGGGTCTGGAGGGGCTCTGGGAGCGCCCACCCCCTCTGGATGAGCCGCAGAGCGATGGCAGCTCGGAGGGCCAAGATACAGCACTAACTGGTAAGGCTGGGAGTACAGGATCGGGAGGCTGGGCTGGACTTGGTGCCGGGCCAGGCCCCAAGTCCCTCTCTACGTGCCTTGCAGAGCTGGGAGAGGAGCCTCAGCACCCTGAACCTGGCACATAAGTGCACAGCTCCCAGTCTTCAAGAGGAAGTGGGGGGGCATCACTGTGCCCCAGAAACCCACTCTGTCCCCACCCTATTTGGTGCCCTTCCCCTTCTCTGCGACTTCTAGACGACTAAGGCTGGTCTGTGTTTGCTTTCTGCCCACCTCTGGCTGATGCCGAGTCCCTGACACCTGCCCCTACCAGTTGTTCCTCCATTCACCCGGCGGGAGGTGGGGTGTGGGGGAGCCCATGTTGGAAAATTCAGAAAACGGAAACAAAGATTTGCTTTCACAGTTCTACTCCCCAGATCCTCTCCCCTGGGCACAGGAGACCCACAGGGCAGGACCCTAAGATCTGGGGAAAGGAGTGTGAGAACCTGTAGGTGTCCTGAGAACCTTCTCCATCCTCTCTCCCCGCCGGAGTCCACGTCACCACCCCCTCACCAGCGTCTCCCAGGGCCCAGGACTCGATCCTTCTCCACAGCCTCAACGTACGGAGATCTCTGGGTCACCCCTTCTCCCCCTGCGTGCCTGGAAGATGGACTGGCAGGGGCTGCTTCGTTGCGTTATGTTTGTGCTTTGATGCCGGGAATGCCGCCTAGTACGCGCCCTCAGAGGGGATACACGGTGGGGGAGCCAGGGCCTCCTCGTCCCCCAGCTACTCTGTCCTCTTCCCCTTCTTCCTCAACTCCAGGCCTGAATCCCTCCAGTGCTGTAATAAATCTTTGTAAATAACTGTGCCGAGACTCCTGTTTCATGGCAGGGAGGAAAAGCCGGAGTTGATAAGATGTCCTGATGTGCAGGGCTCGGGGTCAGGAAAGAGGTAGGATGCTCCGACAGCCCAACTTTCGGCGCAGGCGCACTCCCGGCCCTTCCTCCGGCGTCGGGGGGCGGGGCCTAGCGCGACGCAATTCCCAGCTTGCTCTGGGGGCGGGCGGAAAGGCGGAAGTGGCGCCTAGAGGCGATCTCCTTCCGCTCGGAGGCGCTACCGGGACCACGGGGCTGGACTGCGGCTGGATCAGTAAGAGCTAGCACCGTGGCTGCCATGGAGCAGGTGGGTTCTCCAGCCGTCCCGGGGCCCAGGGGATGGTACGAAGGTGATCTCTCGCCGCCTGATGCTGATTCCCCGCCCGGTGTCCGTTCTTGGTTCCGTCCGACCCGTCCCACGCCCCCCGCGTCCTGGGTTCCGCCCCCTTCCTCTGCTCCACAGAGCTGCTGGCGGCTCGGTGCTGGGGTTCGGCGGCTGCGCGCCCGAGAGACTGGGTGGGGAGCATGGGGGCCGATGCGGGAGAGGCGAGGGGGCTGCATCTGGGCATTGCGGTAGGCTCCGGATCTGAGGACAAGGAAGAAAACCTCCGCACGTTCCGTTAGGTCTGCGTCTCAGCGTCCCGCTGGCTCTCTGACTTCCTTTGGAAATGGCCGGGAATAACTTTGTAATCTAAAGTGTCCTGTAACCCACCCCGAGTTCTAGAGGTGAGATACCGTCGCTGTCCTTTACGGACGCCCCAGCTCCAGATCGTGCTGACCTCTGAGCGTCGTCAGAGCACCCTCACGGTCCCGCCTGTTCCCCAGGCTGCAGCTCTCCTGCGATAAAGACCCACGGGGCTCCACACGGCCTGCGGCTGCCCACGGCTGCCCACGGCACAAGTCCAGGGCCCTGGAGCTGAACCGATCTCTCCCTGCTGCCCTGTCCCGGCATTAACCCGGGCATTGCCTTTCACTTCCTCTTCTTCCATTCCCACATCTAAAACGTGACCTAGCAGACAGCTAACTTCCCGAACCTCCGGTCTTTCTCCCTGTCCTGTGTGTCTCCTCTGTGGATGTGTTTCTCCTGGAGACTGCAGTAGCTTCCTAGTAGGTTTTGTTTTGTTTAAGTAGTTTTTCATTACGTAGCTCAAGCTGGCCTGGAAATCACAGCAGTCCTCCTGCCTCAGCCTCCCTAATGCTGGGATTACAGGCGTGTGCCACTAGCTTTGTCAGCGGCTTCTAATCACAACCTCTGCAACCCAGTCTCCTTACTGTAACTCTTGCATGCATCTTAGAACACAAATCGGGCTGTGTCACTTACTTGTTTGTAATTCTTTTTGGAGGTGGGGTATTTGGGGTAGAACTCCAGACCTTGTGCTTGTGAGGCAGGCAGCGGCACCCCGGCACCCCGGTGCAGGAGCTAGATCCCCAGCCCCTTGTTTGTAATTCTGACTGCTTCCCCTTGCTTATTTAAAAGGCTGAATCCTTAGACCAGTTTAAGGAGCCCTCTGGAATTTCTCCTATGTTCTTTAAGTTTGAGTAATAGAGCGCCTCGGGGTATGCTCTGCTCTCACACTGTGCTGTCTGAGTTTCTGTTCCCTTGCACCCTGCAGCCCTCTGACTTCTCCCATCTGCTGGGCTCCCTTCCGCTTGCTCTTTAGTTCTATGCTCAGGCAGCCCCATGTCTGGGTCACTTGCTCCACCTCCAGGGCTCACTGCCTCTCTGTCCCCTCAGGATCTTGTTCCTGACAGGATAGCTGAGAATGCAGACTCCTGTCCTGAATCCGACTGCCTGCGTCCTTGCCTTGTCTTGTGACCTTGGTGAAATGAGCTTCTCAGTCTCCTTATTTGTAAAACAGAGACAGTAAATGTGGGTCACCCCAACCTAAACGGAACAATCTAAACAAGCTGGTGCAGTGCTTAGACCTGTAATCCAGCTCATCCGGAGGCTGAGGCAGGAGGACCACAAGTTTGAGGCCAGCCTAGGCAGTTTAATGAGAATGTGGCTCAAAATAAAAATTTAAAAGTGCTGGAATGTAACGGTGGTAGAAATGTGGGAGTCCCTGGGCTTAATCCTCAGTAGTGTTCAAAGAACCCAGAAAACACATGGACTAGTTCTGATTTTTAAATTCATAAACTACTTAAGGACAGTTAACGTGGCTCACTTCTCATTCTGTTGCAGAGCCATGAAGCCTGGCTCTTTGCCAGCAAATAAAATGCTCGAGTGGAAGGTATGGTGGGGGAGGGCATCTGAGTTCATCATTGAGGATTCAAGGGTGACAAAGACCCAGGCCAGATGTCAGGAAAATGAATCCGGAAGTGGGTCAGTGTTAGGTTTAAGCTTCCGTTCTGAGAGATGGGCATGGTTCTCCAAGAGCCCAAGTGAGGGAGGTCAGAAGTGGCTTCTCAGAGGAACTTGCAGAGGCCTGGGTTCCTTGGCTTTTCATTGCTGTGACAAAACACCTGACCTGAGCAACCAAGGGAGGAAGGTCTGGGAGCCTGGTGTTTGTCTAACGCCGGCTCTGGCCCCCAGCCCTGGTGCTGAGGGGGCCGCCCTGAGGCGCACGCTTCCCCCCCCCCCAGGTCTGACTTCCCGGAAAAGTGAACTGGTTCTTTCCTGGCTGCCTGGGAACCTCACCTCCTCAGGCCTGTTTTACCCAGCAGCACTAGGGGGCGGGGCAGGGCCTGACCTGCTGGACCTGAGTGGGCCCAGGCTTTCAGGGTCCCCAAGCCGCTCCATTCTGCAGGGTGGGTGGCAGGGCTCCCCAGGGCCTGCCTGTGTGGAGGAGGGGTGTGAGGGAAGAATTTGCCTTGTTTCAGTCTGACCCTCCTTCCTCTTCTCCCAGAAGGAAAGGAGAAATGAAACCAGGCTCTGGCTTTTGAATTTTATTTAGTTGAAATGTCATCACAGCCACAGCCTCCTCTCCTTAAACTTCCACACTTTCTGGAAACTTCCCAAACCCACTATGGGTGAGGTGGGGAAGGGCCAGAGGCCAGTATTTCCTGGGCTGAGGTCAAGGGCTGCTGAACCCCACGTGGCAGGGGAGCCTGAGACACGCCACCCTTCTGGGCTCCCTCAGTGGGCATCGGGGCAGCTGCTCAGTCTGATCTCATCAGGTCCTGTGGTGGGTGCTGTACCCCCATTGTACAGCCCCGGAGACTGAGGTCCAGAGAGCCACAGCGCTGTCCCTAAGGGCACCAGCGACCCTTGAGCTCTTGATTCCCAGCCGGATGCTGGCCCCACACCTGCACCCTGCTGCCCCACGGCAGACGTGAGAGCCAGAGGTAGCGACTGTGGGACACAGTGGCCTGGCCTCAAGGGTTCAGGAGACAGCGGAAGCTCAGGTCTCGCTGTGGGGTGGGGCCGGGGCAGCTGAGGAGGTAGCTGGGGGAGGCTGGTAGAGGAGGTGACCTTTGAACTCAAAGGGCCAGAGTTCACCCCAGTAGGAGGAGGGGGTTCCGGATGAGGAGGCAGGCAGGGGAGGCACTGAGCCCGCTGTGGGCACAGTGCAAGGTGGGCCTCAACTCAGCACCTTGAAAACCAAGGTCCCCAGGCCTGCTGCCCGGGTGAGGCTCCCCTTAGGTGCTGAGCAGGGTGGCTGTCTGGGGCTCTCCTGCCATTCGGGGTTCAGCGGCCCTCGTCAGCCTGGGTACAGAGGGGAGCTGGCGGCGGTGTCCTGGGGTGGCGGTGATCAGGAGAGTGTGTGGGGGTTGAGGCTCCGAAGCAAGGGAGCAGGGGAAGGGTCCCCCTCCTCCGCGACCCTCGTGATGAAGGGATCTGACTCACCTGGAACCTTTCCTCTGCGTGTGGGGACTCAGGAGGGAAGAGGGGCAGCACCCTGCCCATGGCTGCCCAGGAACCCCATTCCCTCGGGTCTCTGCTGTGTGTGGTGTGAGTGTCACATTCCCTGAACATCCGCTGGGAGCCTGGGCAGTGCTGGCGCTAGAAGTCCCCACTGTCCCGGAGTTTGTATCTGAGACAACCCTAAAGACAAGGCTCTGACATGTGGGAGGCTGAGGCAGGAGGATCACTGGGAGTTGGAGGCCAGCCTGGGCTATGCAGCGAGACCAGGGGGTCAGAGCGGGCGCCATGTGTCCAAGGACACCAGGGGCCAGTGTGGCTGGGAGGAAGGCTCGACGGAAGGGTTAGGGACAGGCAGCTTGTGGGCCTGGGGAGGGACTTTGGCTTTTCCTGCGGGTGAACTGGAAGGCTCTGGAGGTCCGACTTTTACTTTTAGTGGGGTCCCTATCTGTGGCTGCTGTGGTGAGGATGCAGACTTGGGGTGAGGACAGGTCCAGAAGTCAGGGCAGACAGAGGACGGTGGCCAGGGTGAGAGCGGCAGCTGTAAGCAGCAGGGCCTGGCTTGGGGTTTGGATATGGGAGGGACGCTGTCACTGCGCAGTGGCTCCTGAACTCTGGGGTATCCCACACCTCTGTCCCACAGCGCGCCGAGGCCCCCTGGCAGCAGCTCCATTTGAGTTCCGCAGGTCCTATCACAGCCCAGGGACAGCAAGCAGGTCCTCAGAGCTGGCCCCCCCAGTGACAGGCTCATCCCCGCAGCTCCCCTGGGACAGTGGGTGGCTGCCGGAGGTGACAGCCACAGGACTGCACCCAGCCAGGCTTGCTGCTCCTCGCTGACCTGATGGATTGACCTCCAGCCCCCCATCCACGGCTCACGGCTCCCTGCCCACTGAGCTCACTTCCTACCCTCTGGTCCGCGTTGCCCTGGGATCGCTCACCTGAGAAGCCCAGTCCTGGTCCGAAGCCCTGGGTGCGCGGGACTCCCTGTCTGGGGGAAGCAAGGCAGGTGGAGTAGCTGGCCGTCAGGCACGATGGCCGTGTCAGGGCACCCTAGGGCCTGGCACCCAGGGCGGCATTTACCCCTGAAGGCGAGGACGGGGTGTGATCGATGCCCACTGTTCGGAGGAGGAACCCGGGGCAGAGATTAAGTGGCCAGCACTTGGCTTTTCTCCTGGCTTGGAGTCCAGTTCTTTCTGGGCTTCCCCAAACCCACTTAGTCCTAAGCTACAGGCCCCAGGCACACCCTGCCCCCACCACCCTGGTGAGCGGGGGCTGCGACAGCATCTCCTGGGGACGCAGGGCTGCCCACCGCCCAGGCCTGGCACAGTGGAGAAGTGGTATTATCCATATTGCCTGTGGTGTGGGGGCCCAGGGCTGGCAGGACCCCATCATCTGTGCCCAGCCACCTTGGACCTTGGAAATAGGGAAGGGGGCGCTCAGCCATGGGTATCCACCCGTGTACTGTACTCCGCACCCCACTCCCTTACCTGGAAGATCTGCCCAACTCCTGTGGTCTCAGCCCCCAGAGACCCAGCACCTGCTGGGCTCCTGACCTGAGGGGCAGGCACAGCGGGGCGGATCCCTGGGAGAAACTCAATCAGCTTAAACTATTTGGAGCATTTAGATTGGGAGCCTTAAGTGTGTTGTTCTTGCTTTAACACACTGTTGCATTAACTAAGTTACTGATGCCTTTTACATACACAGCCAGGGTTTGGACTGGGAGCTCTGGCCTGGTCTGTGCTTAGAAATTGACACACACACACACACACACACACACACACACACACACACCCCTGAAGTCTCTGCTTTCCTGGGTTCCATGCCTAGGAACGGATCCATCTGACTCTGAAGCCGTCCTTTTTCAGTGCTAGCAGGTGCCTGGCGCACGTGCCACTGGAAAGCCCCACTGCACGCAGAACGGGCTGGGACAGGGGGAGGTCTGTGCCCTGCGCCCCTCTCTGGCTCCCGGAACCTGTGCTGCTCAGGTACTGACCTGTCCAGCCCTCCCCAGACTTAGCGACCCCCAGCCTGGGGCTGCAGAAGCCCTACCCACCCTTCCCTTCCCGCCCTCCGAGCCTGAGCAGCTGGGCTGCAGTGAGTGTGGCGTCTGCATAGTGGGGGTGGGCAGGCTTCGCTCTTCCCTCCACACCTCTGCAGGCACGTGGGAGGGGCGGTGACAGCCTCGTGGGCGCCACTTCCGGGGGGTGGGGGGTGGCAGCCCTGCTGTTTCCAGCCTCACACCTCCTTCCTGCTGCAGCCTTCTCCTGGCAGCTGCCAGCCTCTGCCCTCCGGCTGCTTACTGGGGTCACTTGCAGGCCAAGGTTGGTTCTTGGGCAGTTGGGCACAGCTCCCAGACAGGCCTTTTGAAGTCTCCTGAGTGAGCCCCCTTTCCACCTGACCTCAAGAAGCCCAGGAGGGTATGGTGGCACACACCCACGATCCTGGCACTGGGAAGCTGAGGCAGGAGGGTTGCAAGTTGGAGCTCAGCCTGGGCTACAGGATGGGACCCAGGAGTGTGTTGCCCTCACACTGACCTCTCCCCGAGATTCGCAAAGGCTCAGTGAGCAGGACTTGCCAGGTTCCCTGGCGCCAAGTTCTGTAACTCAGGGCCGTTGTCCTCCTCGCCAGCTCCCCGGTGGACGCACAGCTGCTTTCATGAGGAGGCGACCCAGAGCCCAAGCCCCTTCCTGTGCCTCGCCAGGGCTCCTACCACCCGGCCTCCTCTGCTCTCGGGGTTCCCACTGCCTTGGCTGGGCCGCATCCCTGTCTCTCAGCCCAGCAGGAACCTGTAGGCCTCTGAGTGTCCAAGTCTCTCGCCCACGCTGAGCTGGGGAGGGGCGAAGACAGGAACCCCGGGGGCAAGCATGGGGGAAGAGGACAGGGCGGAGAGGCGCAGAGAGATGCCGGGGTGACAGGAGAGCCGGCCGATGTGGCTGATGGTATCTGTGGACCCCCGGGAAGTGTGCATGTGCTGGGGTAGTCTTGGAGGCGGGCAGAGTGTTACTCAGTGGCTCGTGTGAAATGGGGCACAGCGTTGCCTGGGATATGCAGGGCTCCGGTTCCATCTCTAGAACCGAAAAAAAAAAATGTGTGTGCTGGGTGTGATGGTGCGCGTCTGTAATCCCAGCACCCTGGAGGCTGAGGCAGGAGGATCACCTCAAATTTGAGGCCAGCCCGGGCTACACAGTGAGACCCTGTAGTGTCCCTTATAGAAGACTGCGCATGAGGACTCAGAACAGATGAGTAGGCAGCTATGCCGTGCCAGGCAGCCGCAGCCACAGAGCTGGAGAGGCAGGAAGGCTCTGGAATGGGTCTGCCCGCACCTCTGTTTGGGACTTAAGCCTCTGGAACCATGAGAGGATACATGGGTTTTTTTGTTCATTTGTTGTTAGGCTGAGGGTCAAACCCAGAGCCTGCTGCATAACAGGTAAGCATCGTACTGCTGAGCGACATCCCCAGACCAAATTTCTGGCTTTCTCTTGCTCTCTCTTCCCTCCCTCTCTCCCTTCCTTCCTGTTTGGTGGTACTGGGATTGAACCCAGGACCTTGGCACTGAGCTACATCCTCAGCCTGTTTTTTATTTTCTTAATTTTCAGTCAACCTTTTGCTCAGTCATGAAATTGTCCAGGCTGGGCTCCAAGTCACAATCCTCCTGCCTCAGCCTCCCAGAGTGCTGGGATTACAGACCTGTGCTGCCACACCCAGCTCAGATTTCTGTTTTAAACAAACAACAACGAAAAGACAGACATGACAAAGGGATTAAAAGTAAAAAGGTACAGCAGGGGGATTTAGCTCAGTGGCTCCATCACCTGCCTCTAAGTGCTAGGTCCAGAGTTCAATCCCTGGTACCAAAAAAAAAAAAAAAAAG